CACAATATCCTTTTCCCCACATAATTCAAAGAGCATCTTCAGCAAAAATGTTCAGGTGCAACACAATTATATACATATTGTATAAGGCTACTTGGATGTCACACTTTACAGAAGACTCCTTTTTTTATTTGTCAGCAGCACACAAATGTGATGCGGAAACCCCTAAAAATCCTACACGCATTTCAGAGGTGCTGGCAAGTCAGTCCTGCATGTTACTACTGTATAAACTCAAGTCAGCCCTGCATGTTACTACTGTATATACTCAGCTTGATTTCCTGTGAATAAGCCAAGAGTAATTCTGTTGAGAAGGGAAAGCACCAATGCCACCTCAGAGGGCCAGGTACCCAAGGCCACTGCTGCCACTTTCCCATCTTGGCATTCAGAGGTGGTGTCACAGTAGAGAGACTACAGGGTTTCCCCCCAGTTTTCTTAGAATGGACTTTCGCCACTCTACCCAGAGATGGTTCCTTTTGCATAACAGTTAAGGTACAGTACCCAGTACTCACACTGACCCACAGATCAGTCAACCCAGGTTTTGGGGTTTGATTTTTGAACAAAATTCTAGACCTGAGTATATAGGGCAAATACAATTATCTCTTCGGGAATTATGCCACAATTTACAGGGCTGAGAAGGTTCTTTTTCAGTAAAACCCAGTGCCTACTACTTTAGTAATGCCTTAGGTGAGGCTGGCATAAGCAACACCGACTGTTCAAGAAGGAACTACAGACAAGTCGAGGCACAGAACAAAAGAAGTAATCATGCCTGTTGAAAAAAGATATCAATGGCCACCACCATTTCTATTCCAAGAATTAAGTCTTGAAAAGAACATCTGATTCCACTGAACAGAAAGGCAATTATAATTACGAAAACATTGGTCCCACTGACTAGTATGCGTTACTGTGCACCTTCAAGTTGTTTCTGGCATACAACAATACTAAGGTGAAGTTATCAAGGAGTTCTTGTTGCAAGATTTGTTAAGATGGACTTTGCCATCCTCTGAGGCTGAGAGAGCATGATTTGCCCGAGGTCACCCAGTGCATTTCTATAATTAATGGGGGATTCAATCCTTGGTCTCCCAAGATCAACATTCAAACCACTATTGCATGCTGTCTTTCTTGCTATCATGAAAATATGAAGGAAAACTATTAACCTTCTAGCCATTAATACCGCTCACCAGGGTTTAAAAAACAAGGAAGCCAAATTAAGGGACTTTCCACACAGCCATATAACACAGAATATCAAGGCAGAAAATCTCACAATTTTTGCTTTGAATGGGGTTATCTGAGTCCACGCTGCCCTAAACGGTTCTGGCCCAGACAACCTGTCCGAACGTATCTCCTGCCATGAACCATCACCAAGTTTAAGATCTTCAGTAGAGGCCCTGCTCTTGATCCCACCACTATCGCAAACACGGTTGATGGGGACGAGAGACAGGGCCTTCTCAGCAGTGGTCCCCCGCCTATGGAACGCCCTCCCTAGTGATATCAGATTGACCACCTCCCTCTTGTCTTTTAGAAGGAAAATCAAGACCTGGCTATGCGACCAAGCATTTGATCAGTGAGAAGCAAGTGGAAGAAGATCACACAACTTATGACAATGAATTGACCCGTACTGGTTTTTGGATTTTGATTTTAATGGATGTATCTTAATTTATTGTTTTAATTGTTTTAATTTTTAATATTTTGATTGTACTGTGGTTGTTTTGATGATGCTAACATCATATGATGCTTTGATTAGGCTGCCCTGAGTCCCCCTTTGCGGGGAGAAGGGTGGGGTATAAATATAGGAAATAAATAAATAAATATTCCAATTCAAAGTGGGATTTTTTTTTCCAGCAGTATGGAAGAGGCCTCACTTTAATCCAGCAAAAGGAACAGTCAAATCACAATATTCTAGAAGTAACAGTCCTCAAGCATTGTTCATTTTCAGAACATATTTTGCGAGCATAAAAATAACAATGAGAGCCATTGGGCGAGAACTCTGGAGATCAGGGTTCAAATCCACAGAAACTCCACTGGTGACGATAGGCAAGCCACACTATCTCAGCCTCAAAGGAAGGCAAAGGAAACACCCCTCCGAAGAAATCTTGCTAAGATCTTGCCTTGGGGTCGCCTTAAATCAGAAAGAACTCAAAGGCACACAACAACCGCATAACTAACAGAACTGCATTTCTCCATCATGCTTTGATTCTTTCCAATTAGCCTGGAAGTACAGGGTGGCCCAAAAGTCACAAAAGGGTTTCAGTATGCAATAACTCTTTTTTTAAAAAAAAATTACAATATAATAGCAATATATACAGGAAATAAATTTACATCACATAAATATAATCCTGTAAATGTATCCAATACCATCATATGATATACAATATATGTAAGACACCTTCTTGACTTTTGGCCCACCCTGTACTTGGCTGAACTTGCACCTCCCTGCCAGATAAGAGAGCAGCGAGGGTCAGCAGACTCTCAGCCTCTGCATGAAGTGGGAACACGGTCTGAGGCAGGAGGGAGAATTGGCCCAATAACACCATGGAGTGAGCGTGCCAGAATTCATCCAGCAAGCTTCGTCTTGCCCTGTCCCTCCCTCCCTCTCTGCTTTCCTGGCAATGACTAAGGCAGAGCCAACTGAATGAGGAAGTAGAGAACTCGGCAGGCGGAAGCCAAGCCCACGGCAAGAGACTGTCGGCCCAGGACTGTCTCAGGCGGGAGACCTGACAGCTGCCAAGAAGAGCTCTGCTGCCGTTATTTCCAAGGAAGGAGAAACATTTTGTAAAAACAAAAAATATTGGGGGGACGCCTTCACTGCAATTTATCCTTCATATGATGGGGGAGGAGCTACTGTGATTCATCCTTCATTATGGGGGAAAGGGAGACCCTGGCTGCAGCTGAACCTTCATTGGGGAGGATGGTTTCATATTTTAATTTGCACTTCATTTGGGGAAAGGGGGCTACTGCAATCCAACCTTTATGGGCGTGACCTGGATTATAATTTACCCTTTGTGGTGTATGACACCCCCTACTGCAATTCATGCTTCATGGGGAGGACTCCAAATACAATTCAGTCTTCAATAGGGGATGGGGGAGGCCCCTATTGCAATTCATTAATTCAGTCTTCATGGGAGGGAGGCCCCCTACTGAAATTCATCTTTTATTAGGAGGGCCCCAACTGCAATATATCTGTGGAATATCCAGGGTGGCAAAAGAACTGTTGCCTGATTGAGGCAGGTATGAATGTTACAATTGTCCACCTTGATTAGCATTTAATGGCTGTACAGTTTCAAGGTCTGGCTGCTTCCTGTCTGGGGGGAATCTTTGTTGAACATTCCACAGATATATAAACCCCACTTTCCTCATTTCCAACAGACCTCACAACCTCTGAGGATGCCTGCCATCTATGCAGGTGAAATGTCAGGAGAGAATGCTTCCAGAACATGGCCATACAGCCCGGAAAACTCCCAGCAACCCAGTGATTCCAGCCATGAAAGGCTTCAATAATACATTTAACACCTATTTCAATACATCTTTCATGAGGAGGACACCTCTTTTGCAATTCAGGCTTCACAGAGGGACTCTACTGCAATCCACAGGGAAACACCCCTATACTGCATTTCAGCCTTCATTTGGGGAGGGGGGTTGTGATACATCCTTAAGGAGGAGACACTCCTATTAAAATTCATCTTTCAGCATTGGGGAGAGGAGACCCCCAACTGCAACTGAGGCGGGGCTGTGGGCAAAACCAGGCATAACCAGTACAATAAAAGGGGGAAGCAATGCATATATATAATCACAGCAGGAGAAAGAGAAAGAGGCATGGGGATCAGCTGCTTTTGCTCAAGCACCTTCTAAAGCAGGCATGGGCAAACTTGGGCCCTCCAGGAGTTTTGGATTTCAACTCCCACAATTCCTAACAGCCTACCGGCTGTTAGAAATTGTGGGAGTTGAAGTCCAAATCACCTGGAGGGCCCAAATTTGCCCATACCTGTAAAGGAAAGGAGGTGATAGTTATATCCTTTCAAAAAAAACAGGAAGCTGCAGTTGGGAGATCTTCTCTGCAGGGTTGTTGTTACTTTAGGACTGGAAAAGGCGGAGAAAGAAAGGCTGAGCTTCTCAGAACCCTCCCCACAAAAAAAGGAGAGGTGGGGAGAAAGGGTTGCCTGGAAATTGCAAAGAGCTTAAACCTTAAAATACAAAAATGCAAAATAAAATACTCCTCCCCCCTCCCAGGCTGTTAGGAATTGTGGGAGTTGAAGTCCAAAACACCTGGAAGGCCCAAGTTTGCCCATGCCTATAAAGGAAAGGAGGTAATAGTTTTCCTATCCTTTCAAAGAAACAGGAAGCTGCAGGTGGGAGGCCCTCTCTGCAGGGTTGTTGTTACTTTAGGACAAGAAGGAGGAGGAGAAAGGAAGATTGAGCTACTCAGAACCTTCCCCACAAAAAAAGATTAGGTGGGGAGAAAGATTTGCCTGGAAATTGCAAAGAGCTTAAAATACAAAAATGCAAAATAAAATACTTTTATTTCAAAGGAAGTGCCTGAGGCTGTTAGGAATGGTGGGAGTTGAAGTCCAAAACACCTGGAAGGCCCAAGTTTGCCTATGCCTATAAAGGAAAGGAGGTAATAGTTTTTCTATCCTTTCAAAGAAACAGGAAGCTGCAGGTGGGAGGCCCTCTCTGCAGGGTTGTTGTTACTTTAGGACAGGAAGGAGGTGGGGAAAGGAAGATTGAGCTACTCAGAACCCTCCCCACAAAAAAAGATTAGGTGGGGAGAAAGGTTTGCCTGGAAATTGCGAAAATACAAAAAATACAATAAAATCCCTCTCCCCTTATAATGCACCTATAGATGGTACTTTCCAGCGACAGCTTGGCAAGAGAAAGAGAATCCAAAAGTTAAGCCACGCCCGACCGCTTCCTGGTGAACCTCCACCCGCCGGCGCCAAACTAAAAACCAAGCGTCATCTTATCCGTTTCTCGTCCCCGCCCGCACCAAACCCGGCCCGGGACTTTACCTGAGTCTGGCCAAAGCCCGAGAGGGGGAAGCCGCCGCCGCGGCGAAGGACGCGAAGACTAGACTCGGTAACCGACACCTTCAGGGAGAGCACCAGCGCCCCACCCGCCGCGCCGTCCCAGCTCTAACGCCTGTAACTCACCGGCAAACAGCGAGGTTTCAAGCCGGGAGGGAGCGGCCGCGGCTCAGGATCGTGACGCCCACTTGCTGCGCCGCCAGCCTATAGGAGCGTGCTTTGGCGGAGATTGACGTCCCGTTTCGGCCAATCGCGGCTCGAGCGGGGGGCGGTGCTTGCCAGAAGGAGGCACACGACTTTTTTCTAATCTCCTCAACGGACGCTCCAACCAACCCCTGCTCTCGTAAGTTTGAGCCCGCCTCCTTCTCTCAGCCAATGGGAGCGCGCTCAAGGAGGAGCAGAGATGGACGTGGCCGGCGGCCAATGGGAGCGCGCGATATGGGTAGGTCTCCTTGTCTGTGTAGCAACTGGACCATTTCCGTGGCAGATCAAGGAGCGGCAGGAAGGAAGGAAGGCGTGGTGTCGCTATCGTCCATTTTCAGCACCGTTGCAGCTTCCTTGGCTGTTTGCCCGGAAGTGTGCTTCACTGCATGAGGTACAGGGTGCACCTACACCAGGCCTGGGCCTACTTGGGCCCTGCAGGTGTTTTGGACTCCAACTCCCACCATTCCTAACAGCCTCAGGCCCCTTCCTTTCCCCCCTCAGCCGCTTAAGCGGCTGAGGGGGGAAAGGAAGGGGCCTGAGGCTGTTAGGAATGGTGGGAGTTGGAGTCCAAAACACCTGCAGGGCCCAAGTAGGCCCAGGCCTCGTGTAGATACACTTCCAAACTTCCTTGGCCTGCACCTGATGCTCAAGTCTCCTTATAACAGGCATAATAAAATGGCTTCCCTCATATAGATGTTGATATCCTAATTTCCCCGGGGAGTGAGTTCCACAGGCGAGGGGCCACCACTGAGAAGGTCCTGTCCCTCGCCCCCACCAGCCTCGCTTGTGATAGAGGTGGGGCCTCCCCAGAAGATCTTAAGCTCCGAGGTGGGGCATAGAAGGAGATACGTTCGGGCAGGTACACTGGGCCGGAGCCGTATAGGGTTTTATAGGTCAAAACCAGCACTTTGAATTGTGCTCGGGACTGGATTGGCAGCCAGTGGAGCTGACACAACAGAGGGTGGTATGTTCCCTGTATGACGCTCTGGTGATTAATCTAGCTGCCGCCCGTTGGACTAACTCAAGTTTTCGAACAGTTTTCAAAGGCAACCCCACATAGAGCGCATTGCAGTAATCTATTCGGGATGTAACAAGAGCGTGGACCACTGTGGCCAGATATAACAGGCATAATAAAATGGCTTCCCTCATATAATGCAAAGGAGTACCAGAGAAACAGCCTGAGCCTGAGGATATGTGAAATGGCAAGAGGCTATTGCCAGGTATTTATTTATTTCATATACTTGTCCCCCGCCTTTCTCACCCCCGAGGGGGGACTCAAGGCGGCCTCACAGCAAACATTCAGTGCCATCATAATGATAAGAACAATCAACAAATTGATTAAAACAAAACATTAAATAAGCAGTCGTTACAACACGCCAATTAAAGTCCGGGTCACTTCGAAATTGCTTATGTCTTTTTCATACAAGCAAGTATTCAATGATCAAGTGCAAGGTCCCACAGTCAAGTCTCGAGTTTCCTTCTAAAGGAACAGAAGGTGGCCAATCTGATGTCTTTGGGGAGGGAATTCCACAGGCAGGGAGCCACTGTTGAGAAGGCCCTGTCTCTCGTCTCTACCAATCGCATTTGCGACAACGGTGGGTTTGAGAGCAGGGCCTCTCCAGATGATCTTAAACTTCATGATGATTTGTAGTAGGAGATACGTTCGGACATGTAGTTTGGGCCAGAACTGTTTAGAACAGGGGTCCTCAAACTAAGGCCCAGGGGCCGGATGCGGCCCTCCAAGGTCATTTACCCAGTCCTCGCTCGGGGTCAACCTAAGTCTGAAACGACTTGAAAGCACACAACAATAACAATCTTATCTTATCAGCCAAAAGCAGGCCCACACTTCCCATTGAAATACTAATAATTTTATATTTGTTGAAATTGTTCTTCATTTTAATTATTGTATGAGGTCACGAAGAGTCGGAGACGACTGAACGAATGAACAACAACAACAATTGTTTTTAAGTGGGGTTTTTTGCACTACAAATAAGATATGTACAGAGTGCATAGGAATTCATTCTTCTTCTCTTTTTTTTTGCAAAATATAATCCGGCCCTCCAACTGTTTGAGGGACTATGGCCTGGGCCTCTGTTTAAAAAGTTTGTAGACCCCTGGTTTAGAGCTTTAAAAGTTAAAACCAGCACTTTGAATTGTGCTCGGTAGCAGATTGGCAGCCGAGCACAATTCAAGCTAGCATAACAGAGTTAGCGTAACGAAGGAGTTGTATGCTCTCTGTACGCCGCTCCGGTGAGCAACCTGGCTTCTGACCATTGGACTAATTGAAGCCTCCGGGCAGTCTTCAAAGGCAGCCCCATGTAGAGTGCATTGCAGTAGTCTAATCAGGATGTAACAAGAGCGTGGACCACCATAGCCAAGTCAGACTTCCCAAGGTATGGGCCCAGCTGGCGCACAAGTTTTAAGACTTCCCAAGGTACGGGTGCAGCTGGCACACAAGTCTACAGATCGGCATAGTGCTTGGCATATAGCAAAATCAAAATTTGCTTTTAGGAATATTACTTTTTTGAATATCTTTGAGCTGTGGATTCAGACACTTGGAGCCGTTTACACACCATTTTTCCCATCACAGTAATGGCATCATTACCGACTCCTGTACCCCACCCCTTGCTTCATAATTAGTTTATCTAGCATCATAGACAAGCCTCTTGAGCTGTGAGGATTACCAGGGAAGGAATCCCGCTGGAGCACTGCAGCACACCCAAATACCTGCAGTTTACCCTAGACTGTTCTTTGACCTTCAAGAAGCACTGCTTGAATATCAAGCAAAAAGTGGGCACTAGAAACAATTTCATATGAAAGCTGACTGGCACAACCTGAGATCACAACCAGATATAGTGAAGACATCTGCCCTTGTGCTTTGCTACTATGATGCTGAGTACGCATGCCCAGTATGGACCACATCTCACCACGCTAAAACAGTGGATGTGGCTCTTATTGAGACATGCCGCATTATCACAGGCTGTCTGCACCCCACACCACTGGAGAAATTACGCTGTTTAGTCAGTATTGCACCACTTTACATCTGCCCGGAAGTAGCAGCCAATGATGAAATGACCAAGGCAGTGACATCCCCGCCCCATCCCTTGTTCTGCTGTCAGCCAGCACGCCAATGCCATAAATCAATAAATAGCTTCCTAAGATCTACAGAGCACCTCAACAAGCGAGAGTCCAAAAGTGGCAGACTAAAAACCGGAAGCTCAATCCATGGCTGATACAAAATGATAGACTCCCTCCTGGACACAGAAGACTGGGCAACTTGGAAAGCACTGAATAGACTATTCTCTGGCACCATGACATGCAGAGCCAATCTTAAGAAATGGGGTCACAAAGTGGAAGCCATGACATGTGAGTGTGGAGAAGGGCAAACCACAGATCTGCTACAATGCAATGTGGGCCCTGCTACATTCACAGTGGAGGACCTTATAACAATACCACAGGCACTCCAAGTGGCCAGCTACTGATCAAAGGACATTTAATATAATACCAAGTTTTTAAATGTTGTGTTTTCTCAAATACATCACAACTGTACCCTTGGTTCTCTCCTGATATGATAAATGAAGTTAATCTCATTATTTTTTTTAAAATGTAGCTGTAATGGCACAATAATGTCACAACGTCATAACCTGCCTGTCTCTCATCCCCAACAACTGCGCCTGCAAAGGAGGCAGGATTGAGAGTGGGGCCTCCCCAGACTTCCATAACGTTCAGACAGGCAAACTGGGCCAGAACCACAGACTGGCAGCCAGTGGAGCTGATGCAACAGGAGGGATGTCCTCTGTCTTCACGCCTGGCTGCCGCCTGTTGGACTGCTTGAAATTTCCGACATATATAATATAGACTCATATAATGTAGTTCAATCCAGTTATGGAACTACATCATATGGCAATATAGATGGGGTCCCAGGGCTTTCCAAACTGTGTGTTGGGACCAGGCCTGTAGTCGGGGGGAGGGGAGATTGAGAGGCTTCAGCCCCCCCTCCTTGAAATTCTCAGGGTGTCCACGAGAAGGCCTTACTGGTACATTATTGAAACTGTTACGTTTATTCATATCATGATCTGATCACCATTCTCAATATATCCCATATGCATGGGGGTATTGGGATAATGATACAACAGGTTTGCTAGGGTAGATCCAGAGCCCCCCCCCCACCCCCCCAATCAAAATCCTGGCTATGGGCCTGGTTGGGACACATTACTGTGTTGACTGCAATGCATAGGTATGTTTTGTGAACATAACAAGAAAACTCTGAATCTATGTGAAATAAGCAATCATATTTTTAAAAAATATAGATGAAAGTTTTACTATTAGACATGTTGAAATCCTGCAAAACAACTGCCATTTAGTGTGTGTAGTGAAAAAAACAGCCTTAAGTTATATTCTTGTCCAGAGTACATTTGCTGTAATGGGAGCTACTGCTGTTTTAAAAAGCATGATCCAAACAAAGACGAATATACTCAAGTCCCATTGATTTCAACTGGCATGAAATGGGAGTGAGTCTACCGTCTATATCTTAAATCAATGTGACTTTAAAATCCTATGCTCTGCCCAAGGCAGTTTTCCAGGTATGTGGAGAATGCCTGTTTCTAAGCATAAATGATGTGAGATAAGGCTTTATGTTACCATAGGGTCAAGGATCACAAAAAAAAAAAACACACACACACACACAAAATACTTCAGCTGGAAACAGAAATCAGACTGACTAAAGAGAAGCAAATTATCCTAGAGACATTCACCTGAAGCTTTTAAAAAGATTATTATTAAGATAGACATTAACGGTGGAAAGGGAGATGTCATTAATGATGTTGCTGAAAAATATGTGTGCTGCATATCAGGGATTAAAATTCTCTTGTTAAATATAAATTGGAACAGATGTAGAAAAAGAAATGCCAACACTCTAACTAGGAATGGAACTTGATGTAGTTGGTTACTAGTTTCTAACACACAAATAAGGCTTCCGCT